GCATTTAGCCTAATGCGCATTTATTAAAACAGGGAATACCAAAAGGCTAAATGCCGAATTTAAAATAATTGCGATAAATAAATGCGATTAAAAGTCATTCGCCCCGAACATTTATAGAAAAAAATATCGGAAAACACAGATTTTTAATGATATTTCGTTAGTGCAACCACTACCACTGGCGCAATTTTTGATTGAAACCCAGAACAGCCCACTCACATGTTGGAGTAGCATTAGCTAAATGCTAATGCACAAATGGAACCAGGCACATTTAAAATTCGCTAGGAACAAACAGAAAATTTGGTTTATTTCAAGACAGATTACTTTAAAGAAACCTTTATCTGAAATGGGGTCTATATTCGGCCCGTGAAAATAATAGTATTGCCGACTTGTTTAATTCAATCAAAAGTCGAAACGCTTTGTTATATATTTCTAATGGTTGCGCCATGCAGCCATCACTTTCGACTGTGCACTAAGCCGGTATAAGAACTCGAAATTTGAAATCAAATGGCCTTATTAGCCAGTCTTTTAAAATCTTTAAAAAGCCTACTAAAAACTTAAAGTAAAATCAGATCAATTCCAAAAAAAAGAAACAAGCAAAAAAAAATATTAAATAAATTGGAAAAAAAAATGTCTGTATTTCAGAAAAGTATATTTATATATAAATATTTATACGGGTAAGGTACTACATTGTTCGCCTCATTCATTGACGGATTCATTGAAGCCCAGAGACAGAGACAACTATATAGATACTGCTTGAAATTTTTTTGGTAATAAGTTCACTGTCACACTGTCTTTTTAACGTTTAATTCAAACTTTATTATTGTGTATATAATGTTGTGTTTATCCCGCTATTTTTAACGTTTAAAGGTTTTCAGTTGTTACCTTTAAATGGTAAAAATTATTTTGTATACATTTAAGCCTCGCATTTTTATTCCGTTTTGTCGTCAACTCCAATGAATGAGCAAAATTTTACTTTCTAAATACAATTTTGCCATTGATGTATCGGCCCCGGTCGTATTTTATCGAATTTAATTATTGTTGCCCAATTTTGTCTAGTTTTTTACTATCGGGTTTCGGGTTCTGTCAATTTTCTCCATTCATTGCTAACTGGAATCGTCACACGTTTGTCGTGCTCGCACTTATGTAAAATCATATATCTAAAAAAAAAAATGAATAAATGACGCCAACAATGTAGGGTCATAAACCCATTACCACTATGATAAATTTGTAAAGGAATTTATGACAGATTAAAACAAGTATGCTATGAATTCGTCAATAAAAAATAGGTTTTTTTTTTTTAATTCGATAACTTGTAATAAAAAAATTACTTCAAAAAAATTTCGGATAAGCCGATACAGAAAAAATTCGTTGTGGGGACAGGCATGAAAACATTTTTGTAAAATCTTAATTTGTTTTTATTTTGAAGAAAATTAAAAACTTATTGAGTTAAAAAAATTATGGAGAAATAAATGCAAAAGAAATGAAGTCGGTAGGATCGCTACAGCCGAAGATATACATTGCAGATGTATTATTTTTCAAAATTTTATGTGTAATACATATTATAACTAAACAAATTTTTTTTTTTACAAAAGCCTTATTTTTGGGTTACTTTTTTGCCACATAGAAAGCAAACTTCGGCAAGCCGAAGTTCATATACCCTTGCAGCTTTTGCAAAAATGATGTATTATTGAAAACATAAAAATTATGATTGACTTGCGTGTATGTTTATATTGAACTACGACGGTTTGCAGCTCAATTATTTGATAATTCCTATGGCAGCTATATGATATAGTTTTCCGATTTAAATAAAATTAAAAGCGCAAATCTGAACTGTCAAATTATTAATTAATCAAAACAGAATTTCTAAAAAAAATTACAAAATAAAAAGTTAAACTATTTTAATTTCAGAATTACGGTTTAAATTTCATTAAAATCGGACGACCATAACATAAAGCTCCCATGGGAACAATAAAAATATTACAAAAAAATTGCAAAACAAATTAACTCTTTTAATTTGTAATTTTTTTTTTAATTCTTTTTGATTATTTAATTATTTGACAGTTCAGAATTACGCTGTTAATTGTATTAAAATCGGAAAACGATACCATAAAGATGCCATAGTAACTCAAATATTTGAGTTGCAAATCATCATAGCTTCAATGCTTTTAAACATACACGCATGTAAATCATAATTTTAATGTCTTCAAGAATATTTAATAGCTGCAATGGTATATGAGCTTCGGCTTGCCAAAGTTTGCTTCCTTTCTTGTTTGTTTTATATCCAGTTCTGCCTAACCGATTTCGGTCATCGATAGCCTATTTCTCTTGAAATAGATCATTCTGTAATTTTCCTGTAAATTTTATAAGGATAGGTTTCCTAATATAGATGATAGAGCTCGACAAAGTTAAGAATCCTATCCTTATAACAGGTTTGGGCAAGTTGAAGAATGATCTATTTCTAGTGTAATAAGCTGTTGATGACCAAAATCGGTTAAGCAGAACTAGAGATAAAAAAAACAATTGAAAAACGTAATTTATTTCGAGATTTTTTCTGAATCAGGAAAATCGAGGTTTGATCTGTGGAGGAAACCGTTTCCCACGTAGAACTGCGAAAATAAAAAAACTTGAGAATTGGGGGTATTACTCGACGTGCGTGTGTTTATTTACATTTGTAAATAGGAACTAACTTTAACTTAACTCATCTAGCGCTCCAGAGCGGAGCAAGGACTTGGAGGGAGAGTTGGAGCGGGAGAGGGCAGGGACAGCAGGTTAGGACCTTTGGAGAAACCTTCGCACTACACTGGCAGAAAATATAAACGCCTACAGGCGTGAACACATTGAAGATATATTTTTTGAGGCACTTTAGGATAGTGCGGTGCTGTATAAAGAGTGTGCGACAGCAAACAGAAATTAGGTAGATCCCATTAAATGGGCTGCATAATAAAAAATATAGTCAAACATCGGGTTTTCGTATTCTTAGCCGTACCACAGATCGAACATATGTTTGTAGGGTACTTTAACTTAAGAGCACCCAATTATAATGGAAAATTTTGGCTGTGTACCTGTGTAATTTAACGTTAGATGTAAATGATATTATGCTGTGTCCGAACAATTTTGAAAGCACAATGCAATTAATTTAATTAATTTAACTAGTTAATCCAGACCAGTTATTTTAGATATTTTAAAATTCAGATTTCATAAAAATATTTTGTTGGCTTCGTTAATGTTCCACCTTCAAGATAAAGGGATAAAATTAGTTTCGGTTTTAAGGCGTATATGTTTATACCCTTGCAGAGGGTATTATAATTTCAGTCAGAAGTTTGCAACGCAGTGAAGGAGACATCTCCGACCCTATAAAGTATATATATTCTTGATCAGCATCACTAGGCGAGTCGATCTAGCCATGTCCGTCTGTCCGTCTGTCCGTCCGTCTGTCCGTCTGTCCGTCCGTTTATATGCAAACTAGTCTCTCAGTTTTAAAGCTATCTGCATGAAACTTTCCCAAAAGTTGTCTTTCTATTGCAGGTAGTATATAAGTCGGAACGAGCCGGATCGGACGACTATAGCATATAGCTCCCATAGGAACAATCGGAAAAATAAATGAAAAAAATTATAACTTTGCTGTTTTTTAATTTTTTGTTTAGTTCTTCGACATATAGCAATGGTTAAATATTTCAGAATTATGGTAAAAATTTCATCAAAATCGGACGACTATAGCATATAGCTCCCATAGGAACAATCGGAAAAATAAATGAAAAAAAATTATAACTTTTCTGTTTTTTAATTTTTTGTTTTGTTCTTCGACATAAAGCAATGGTTAAATATTTCAGAATTATGGTAAAAATTTCATCAAAATCGGACGACTATAGCATATAGCTCCCATAGGAACAATCGGCAAAATAAATGAAAAAAAATTATAACTTTTCTGTTTTTTAATTTTTTGTTTAGTTCTTCGACATTTAGTAATGGTTAAATATTTTCGATTTACGGTTTAAGTTTCATCAAAGTCGGACGACTATATCATATAGCTCCCATAGGAACAATAAAAATATATAAAATAACTATCAAATAATTGAGCTGCAAATCATCATAGCTTCAATGTTTTTAAACTTATACGCAAGTAAATTATAATTTTAATGTTTTCAAAAATGTTTAATTCTTGCAATATCTGCAAGGGTATATGAACTTCGGCTTGCCGAAGTTTGCTTTCTTTCTTGTTTAAGAACTTCAGTCTTAGCAATTTGTTCAAACTTTGTCGAGCCCAAAAAAAAGGTTGAGTGTCATTTTCTGAATCAGAGAGTGAGACTTCATCGGAAAATTGAGGTTTCATCCTTAGAGGATTTTATCGATTTTAATTTGTTAGCTAGTGTAATTGAATAAACTTAATATAAAACCTTCCTTAGCTTTAAGATTTGTGGTTTCACCCTCACCCTCCCTTACATATTTTAAAACAGGATCAACAGAAACGCTTATCCTTTTAAGTAGTCACTTATTTTAAATGAATTTTATATCATCTAAAAAGTTTTAGTGAAAAATATTGATTTTGGAGGAAATTATTTTGCTTACTTAATTAATATTCTGACGTTTCTTTAGAAGCTGGAAGTACAACGAAGTCTAAGTACTGCCCTAAAATGTGTATTTAAAAATAATTTGTCTTGGGCTAACCTGTTTTGGAGTTATACCCAACGCTGCGTTGCTTGAATACCAGTTTATTGCCCGTTGACTTTTTGTTGACACTGTGCGTGTGTTAAAAGAACATTTTAGCAAAAACGCAGCAATTATATATACATTATTTATTTTGGGTGGCTTACTAAACGCTCCATTAAATGACTTAAATAGCACGCGTTTTGAGCTGGTTACGTATTAATTCTATAAAGCCAAGCGAGTAGTCTGATGTGGTCCAAATACTGTTCTGACTTCAGAGCATAAGGTTTAAAATTACTAAGCCAGTATAGTCTTCAAGAAAACCTAATACATTTAACATTATTTGTCTCTTATAGCAACATGGTTCTAAAATTTGCCTCTTTTTTAATTATCTGGAGTTGCGGCATACTGGCTGCAGACATCCTAATGGCAACTCAAGGTAAGCGTAACCCTTTAACATCTGAAAATGATTTCTTAACATAAATATTTGAGTTTTTTAGGCGGAACAAAGTCACACAAGATACCTTTCTGGGAGCTGGCTAGAGGACTAATAGCCAGGTATGTATGTATGTTCACTGAATATTTTAAACTACGATATTAAAGGAAAACACCCTGGAAAGTTTTAAAGTTTGATGAAGGGGAGTGTGGGACGAAGTGAAGGAAACATTTAAAACCTATAAAATAATATTCTTGAAAGGCGTCGACAGACGGTCGATATTGAAGTGCGCAAGATCAGTAAAACCAATTTTTTTAATAATGACTGGTATTTATTAAAGTAATTTTTTTGTACAGTTTTATTCTTGGCTAAGAGCAAAAGAGTCAAAATCTTTAAAAAAGGCAAAATGCTTTTCAAAATTAAAATAAAATTTGTAGAGTCTAAAAACATGGGCATTTTTCTTAAAAGTAGAAATTGTCGCCATAAACCTAAATCGCCCTAAAAACAAAAAAAATGTCTATATTTATATATGAAAATGTTTTCTATAACATAGAAATCTATTTCTAAAAGTCTAAAATTTCGTATCCAGATTAAAATATAACTAACCTTAAAAATGTTTGTATTTTTCAGATACAATACTTATTGATATTTACTATTAAAGCTAAATTAATCAATGTTATATAAAAAATTTTGTTGAAACAAACATTTTTGTTGAAAGAACATTTTTCGAATTTATAGAAATTTTTTTTTAATTTAAAAAAAATGTATAGTTTCTCTACTATATGATGGGCAATTAAAAAAGACTCTTAAATTAATCACCTTTTTCATCGTTCCGGTATGTCTGGCCCTCAAAAAAGGCGCACAGCATTGCCAACAGAACAGCTGATTTACTTACGAAATTTTAAATGAAAAAATGTAATTATTCTTACTTACGTAGAATTGCCATATGGGCAAGTAAAGGTCTTCGGACGCGACATCCTGACAACTTTTAACATTCAAAATAAGTGGGAAAAAGTACTCATTTTTATTTTTTTTATTTTTGTATGGGACAGCTCGTAATTATCTCTACCAATGGTAAAAAACTTTGCTAAATATATCCAGACGCGACAAAAATGGAACAGCAATTTACAAAACATGACAAAACACAAAAGTTTTCGAATCTGAACGGAGTTTTTGCACATCATTTTTTTCAGTATACTTAGAGGGTGCAAGCATTCATCTGAGCTATTTATTGAAATATTTTTAGAAGTTTTTTTTTGAATAGAGATTCTGGACGCGAAAAATTAAAAAAAAAAATTTTTGCGAAAAATTTATTTTGTTAAAATTTATCCTGTAAAGTTTGGTGACATTATTGCAACAATTAGCCACTTTTCTTAAGATAAGATTAAATCTGACTTTATCTACAACAGCCATATGAGTTAGTGGCTGGAATTTGGTAAACGTTGTTAAGTAAATGCATATGTGTGCTTAAGAAATAATACGTAATACATAAGTCAGTTTTTGTACTATGTTGCTCATTTCGAAAATAGTATTCAATTTCAAAATAGTTCCATTCAATATCGCAGCCAAAATAGAACATAAAATCTATTAAGCTACGGACGATAAATTTATTATTAAATTATTATTATTATTGCGAGCTGCTGCGATCAGAAAATATAAAGACATTTTCAAAAGTGCCATTCCATTCTATATTATTTTTTAAAGAATTACTGATTTCAGACACAACAGACCTTAAAAATTAAAAAAAAAAAAAAACAATTATATATTTTTTTGTGAAAAAATTGTAAAACCCTTAGCTAAGGACCTCTTTTTAGGCATAACAGCACAGACGTGTTTGGTAAACATTGTGGTAGTAAAACGAAAAAAAAAGGTTTTTTGATTTCGGACGCGACGTTCAAAAATAACAAAAGTAAAGCTGAAAACGGGCATTAAATACAATATTATTTAAGTTATTTACATTTTTATCTAAAAAGTTTTGGCTAAAACTTAGAAACGTGATATTTTGTTTGATCCAAAAGCATCAACAATAAACGAAAATTTAACAAATTGCTGAAACTATTTGTGTAGCTTCTGTTTAAAAGTCGTATATCTTAGTGGAACAGTAGGAAGTAGAATCTGATGAATCGTTTATTAAATTTTGAGTGTTTCTTTAAAATATGTTTCAAAAAAAAATTAACGTTTAACAACGTTTAATTTTTAAAGCTTCGTTGACTTTATCCTGGAAATGCCCATATCTAGAATTTATTAAATCAAATTAATTTAAAAATGTTAAACAAGTTGAAATTTTCATCAAGTTCATGGAGGAATACGAGAACTTTGCCCGGGGCTTTGTTAAAGGTGTTCCGTGTTATCCCCGGAAGCGAAATCGATAAAAATTTCGTATTTCTCTTCAACATAGTCGAGTTTTTCTTCTTCATTTGGAGATTTTCCACTGATTTTCCCTTTTGGTCCCTTTTGTTGACAAGATAAGTCAGCTGACTGACATCTGGCCGCTATTGACAAAGGCGTTCGATTTGTCTGAGTTTTGCTGCCTTTGGTCTGATATGGTATAATAATTCTACGCATAAAATCAAAGGAACTAGCATTGGCGCCCACAAGTATATATATTTAAATCAGCCGCTTTTTAAAGTCCAAAAGAGTAAATAGATTCTAATGTGGACAATGAAATGAAAATTTTAATTTTGAGTGCATTTGTGTTTTGTCACTTTAATAGCATGATATATCGATAACCTTTACGCAACTTTACCCGTCCCTATAAATCTAAATCGCTCAATCAATAACTTTGAAATGGCATCTAACGCCCTTTTCCAAACGGTCTATTATAGCCTGATTCCATTGCCGCATTAGTGGACTTTTTAAATGTGCCTGATTCCATTGGCGCATTAGCATTTAGTTAATGCTACTCCGACATGTGAGTGGCACGAACAGTTGATCTGGGCTTGTTTACTTTTGAATATTGGCAAATACAAAAGAAATTAATTAAAATTAATGAACATGAGTGAGTTTACTAAACTCTGTAATGCTCAGCAGGACATCCATATTGCGACCGAGACATTTGCCAACTTGAACGACAAAGAAGAGAAGCTGATTGCGTTGTTATGACGGGTTTGCAATGGAGGCTACCTCAGTTTCTAAAAAAGGCAAGGATCCCCGTAAATGTGGAAGTAATTTTATGCCAGAGATCCAGCAATAAAGCATTGTGGTACTGCGAGCAGAATTTGCAGCGTGCGCTCTAGGTTTCAGTCATTTTTTTACAAAATAGATTTTATATTCGAAAGACATCAAAAATTGCGCCAACCTTGCTTATAGAAAACAGCTGTTGTAGTGGTGGCACGAACAAAATATCGTTAAACATCGGTATTTTCCAGTATTTATTCTAAAAACTTTCGGGGCGAATGGTTTTTAATCGCATTTAAAAATCGCATTTATTTTAAATGCGGCATTTAGCCTTATGGGATTCCCTGTGTAAATAAATGCGCATTTGGCTAAATGCGTTTTAATGCGGCAATGGAATCAGGCTATTAGTTGGAAAAGGCTGGATATTTTGACAAATGTGAAACTCCGATTTCCACAGAGCACATCCCCCTTCCGATAACAGCTGATCTGAACAGTTGTGGCTCGCAAAACATAAACAAAGTCAACAGGTTTTTGTTAATGTCTTGATGAGCCACAGCTGTTCAAATCAGCTGTTACACTGCTCCCAGAAATCAAACCTTGATTTTCCGGTGCAGATCGGTGCAGTCGGTTCGACTGATTCAAAAACTAACACTCCAATTTTTATACCCTTGCAGAGGGTATTATAATTTCAGTCAGAAGTTTGCAACGCAGTGAAGGAGACATCTCCGACCCTATAAAGTATATATATTCTTGATCAGCATCACTAGGCGAGTCGATCTAGCCATGTCCGTCTGTCCGTCCGTCTGTCCGTCTGTCCGTCCGTTTATATGCAAACTAGTCTCTCAGTTTTAAAGCTATCTGCATGAAACTTTCCCAAAAGTTGTCTTTCTATTGCAGGTAGTATATAAGTCGGAACGAGCCGGAGCGGACGACTATAGCATATAGCTCCCATAGGAACAATCGGAAAAATAATTGAAAAAAAATTATAACTTTGCTGTTTTTTAATTTTTTGTTTAGTTCTTCGACATATAGCAATGGTTAAATATTTCAGAATTATGGTTTAACTTTCATCAAAATCGGACGACTATAGAATATAGCTCCCATAGGAACAATCGGAAAAATAAATGAAAAAAAATTATAACTTTGCTGCTTTTTAATTTTTTGTTTAGTTCTTCGACATATAGCAATGGTTAAATATTGCAGAATTATGGTTAAAATTTCATCAAAATCGGACGACTATAGCATATAGCTCCCATAGGAACAATCGGAAAAATAATTGAAAAAAATTGTAACTTTGCTGTTTTTTAATTTTTTGTTTAGTTAAATATTTCAGAATTATGGTTTAAATTTCATCAAAATCGGACGACTATATCATACAGCTCCCATACAAATAATAAAAATATATAAAAGAACAATCAAATAATTAAGCTGCAAATCGTCATAGCTTCAATGTTTTTAAACATATACGCAAGTAAATCATAATTTTAATGTTTTCAAAAATATTTAATTCTTGCGATAGCTGCAAGGGTATATGAACTTCGGCTTGCCGAAGTTTGCTTTCTTTCTTGTTATGTATGGTACCATTTTTTTTATAAAAGTGTAAATTAGGTTTTTCACTTATTTTCATGCGAACTTTATTTTTTATCTCCAGTTTTGCGTTACCGAATTCGGTAATCGATAGCTTATTTCACTGGAAATAGATCTTTCTTTTACTTTCCGATGCATGTTATAAGATTAGGTTTCTTAATATAGATGCTAGAATAAATGGCAAAAAATGAAGCACCGTCAATATAAAATAATTCTTTAAAAATACATGCCTTCTATTAAAACAATTCACTGCAGGGTTCAACGCGGTAAGTGAACAGTTTAGTAGTAAACAAGAAAGCAAGCAAACTTCGGTAAGCTGAAGTTCAAATATGCAGCTATTAAATATTCATAAGGACATTAAAATTATGATTTGCTTGCGTGTATGTTTAAAAGCATTGAAGCTATGATTATTTGCAAC